TCCCTTGTGGGGCCGAATGATTACTGGCAGACTGCCTCCATATTTTTATTAGCAAAGTTTTCGTTAGAATTTTCTTTTAAAATAGCAGTAGCCTTTACAAATTACTTTGTTCCCTTTGTCAGTTTTAATGGTTTCTTCAAAGATCTTCTAGGTTTGGATCCTAGACTCATCAGTCTTATATTGGAGTTTGTTTTCTGTTTCTTCTAATTTAATTTTCCCATTTCACAATCCCTTTTCTAGAAAAATCACAGAATTTTTCTTTTCATTAAAAAACTGGTGAACTGGCCGGGCACGGTGGCTCACGCCTGTAATCCTAGCACTTTGGGAGGCCAAGGTGGGTGGATCACCTGAGGTCAGGAGTTCAAGACCAGCCTGGCCATCATGGTGAAACCCCATCTTTTTTAAAAATTAAAAACAAAAAACAAAAAACTGGTGAACTGTCAGTGGGAAATAACTTACTGTCTATTCTCATCTTTTTTCAGCCCGGTGGTCCTAGTATCTACTTGTGTTTAACATGGCTTAGTTTGATTTTATAACAGATTTATTTTCCATTCTTCTAGTTATTAATTACTAGAATCTCTGACATCAGGATTTTCAGAACATAGACTGTGTCAAGGGAGAAATGTCTGAGAGATTGTCCTAGGAATTGTATGATGTGTAAAAACTTTCAGAAGGTGAACATTCTGTGCCTCGAGAAGGATAAACTGATTCCTATCTTTAGTGCTAAGTAGGTCAGTAGGAGGAGTGAAGGAAATTTCTGGTCAAGGTTTTGCGGCTGAACTTCTAGCATGTGCTTAAAAGATGTTATACTGCTTACAGTGTCAAAGCAACTAGATGGAAATAAATAGTCCCTCTAGAAAATAGCCTGATATATGATCTGAACTAAGGACATCATTACCCCCACAACCCAGTTTGGTGGAATGAGAGTGATTCTGAATCTTTTGCTAGAATGAAGGTGGGGCAGTCACTGGCCACTGGGTGTGGGGAATGCTGACAGGGTTTCAGCCAGCCTCTTTATACCATGCAGAGTAAAGCTGCATGCTTTACTGTCACTTCCAGAGGTAACTGGTACCACTGCTTTCCGGCCACTTAGGGATTCTCCAACATGGATTGGCTGGGATGTGACTCTCCACTTTTCTTAAGTCGGCTTTTTCTTAAGTCATTTAACTCCTCTATCTGTTTACTAGCTTCCAAACTTTTGTTGTAGTCACTTCTTTCCTGTTCTCCTTGGATTTGTAACATTATACTTAAAAAAAAAAAAAAATTCCCCTTTGCATTGGAACCGAACAAAAAAATCCCCTTTACGTTTCATGGTGACTTCTTACATACAACCCCAAAAGCACAATCCATAAAGAAAAATTGACAAGTTGAACATCTTTAAAATTTAAAACTTAAGCTCTGCAAAAGACACTTAAGAGAATGAAAAGACAAGCCACACATTGGGAAAACAATCTTTACAAAGTACATATCCAATAAAGGACTGGTATCCCAGATATACAAAGGAGCCAAGCACGGTGGCTCATGCCTGTAATCCTAGCACTTCAGGAGGCCAAGGCAGGAGGGTCACTTGAGCCCAGGAGTTCAAGACCAGCCTGGCAACACAGTGAAACCTCATCTCTACAAAACATTTTTTTATTTTTTATAATTTTTTTTTTTTTTGAGACGGAGTTTCACTCTTGTTACCCAGGCTGGAGTGCAATGGCACGATCTCGGCTCACCGCAACCTCCACCTCCTGGGTTCAGGCAATTCTCCTGCCGCAGCCTCCTGAGTAGCTGGGATTACAGGCACGCGCCACCATGCCCAGCTAATGTTTTGTATTTTTAGTAGAGACGGGGTTTCACCATGTTGACCAGGATGGTCTCGATCTCTTGACCTCGTGATCCACCGGCCTCGGCCTCCCAAAGTGCTGGGATTACAGGCTTGAGCCACCGCGCCCGGCCCAAAACATTTTTTTTAAAAAAGTAGTTGGGAGCTGGGTGCGGTGGTTCACACCTGTAATCCCAGCACTTTGGGAGGCCGAGGTGGGCAGATCACAAGGTCAGCAGTCTGAGACCAGCCTGACCAATATGGTGAAACCCCGTCTCTACTAAAAATATAAAAATTAGCCGGGTGTGGTGGCACACGCCTGTAGTCTCAGCTACTCGGGAGGCTGAGGCAGAAGAATCACTTGAACTTGGGAGGCAGAGGTTGCACTAAGTTGAGATTTCAGCCTGAGTGACAGAGCGAGATTCTGCCTCAAAAAAAAAAAAAAAAAAAAAAAAAGTAGTTGGGTGTGGTGGTGTACACTTGTAGTCCCAGCTAACTGGGAGGCTGAGGTGGGAGGAGCACTCAAGACCTGTGTGGTTGAGGCTGCAGTGGGCTCTTAGGATGGAAGAATTCCTGCCCAGTAATCTGTGAATCTGTGTCCCTACTGATGACTTCTGTGTAGTCTCTCATTCTTCTTGGGTTCAATTAAATCTCACCAGGCCATTTTTCTCTTTATTGTAACTAATCTCACATCCTACCATAAAATTATTTTATTGTTACTTACTTACTTATTTATTTATTGAGGTGGGGTCTCACTTGGTCATCTGGCTGAGGTTGCAGTGAGCCAAGATTGTGCCACTGCACTCCAGCCTGGGTAACAGAGTGAGACTCTGTCTCAAAAAAAAAAAAAAGTTGCTGGGCACGGTGGCTCACACCTGTAATCCCAGCATTTTAGGAGGCTAAGGCGGGCAGATCACCTGAGGTTCAGAGTTCGAGACCAGCCTGACCAATATGGTGAAACCCTGTCTCTTTAAAAAAAAAAAAAAGTTACCAATTAATATCCAGACTTAACCTACTATTAAAGGCCCTCTAAATTCTGGAACGAAGCTACCTCTCATTATATTTAGCTATAGGATAGGAAATCAAATGAAGACCTCATCAGAACTGTATCTAAATCAAAAGCAAATAGCTTAAAACTTGGTATCCAAAGATTTTCCTCTGAGTAATACGAATTTTCAAATACGGACTTTTCTTAAGCATTTTTGCTGTTTACAACTCTTATTTTATGCCTCATATTTTCTAGAACTTTTGTCCTATTTTGCTGTTACCGTAGAATTTTGACAGCATATGAAAGATGGATAGACTGGTAGGTAGGCCTGGAAGTAGCTAGATGATCTGTTTTTTTTTTTCATCACTCTATCACTAATACCAATGCCTAACACAATATTTGGCATGTAGTAGGTGCTCAATAGATGTTTATTTAAGAAAGGATAGACCAACTAGAATTCAAATGAAAATGATTATTTGCAATACAAAATATGATAGAATATTTAGAATTTTTGCTTGTTTTGTTTTGGTTTTTTTATTTCTGAGTATTTGGAATTATAAAGGGTTTAGAAACTGACAAAAGAGCTTCAAAGCAGAAATTCTAGTGTACATGTAAATTGCTTATCTTTTTGACAAGTGGCATAGAATCTGATGATAATGCTTTAAGGCAGCAAAAACTGTCTTCAGAAAATAATGTAAAGAAAACTTACTGGCAGTTTGTCAATTTGTAGCCTACCATGAAAAACCTCCTAATGGCTGATATTTTTTTTTTTCATTGTAAAAGATATGTGTTCACAGCAGAGTATATATGTTAGTCATTTATTTATTTGACTTTTAAAATTCATCGTCACAATAACTGAAAAGATATGTGTTCACAGCAGAGTATATATGTTAGTCATTTATTTATTTGACTTTTAAAATTCATCTTCACAATAACTGATTAAAACACAAAACAATATTCAGTAGATTGCTTTAAAAAGAATTTGTTTACTGTATATTTAAAATATTTTAGCTGTTTTCTAAAGGTTACTTTGGAAATATAGATTGTTCTTGGTGAGCATTAACTAATGCAGAACAGTATAGTGTTGATCTCTTAACTATTTTTCTACCATAACTTATTGAATGATTAATCGTATAAAATTATCCAAACACAGTTTCAAATTTTCATAAAGAGTAATAATCTTCTGCTATTTTCTTTATCTTTTCTTTTTTTTTTTTTTAGACAGAGTCTTGCTCTGTCATCCAAGCTGGAATGCAGTGGCATTATTTTGGCTCACTGCAACCTTGGACTCCTGGGTTCAAGTGATTCTCCTGCCTCAGCCTCCCGAGTAGCTGGGATTACAGGCATGTAATCCCATGCCCAGCTAATTTTTGTATTTTTAGTTGAGACGGGGTTTCACCATGTTGGCCAGACTGGTCTCAAACTTCTGTCCTCGGGTGATCCGCCTAACTCGGCTTCCCAAAGTGCTGGGATTACAGGTGTGAGCCACCATGCCTGGGCGCTAATTTTCTGTTCATTTATTTCACATAATGTAAATTTCAGTGTATCATTTGGCAGTAGGTATTTTTAACCTGTCACTACTTTATACTAGAATTTCCTAAATGTTTAAAAGAATATCAGTTCCTTTACAGTGTGCCTATGTGGTTCGGCAAGCATGCTTTTCATTTCTTAGACATAGAAATTAAGGCAAAGTATCTACTATAGGCTCTATAGTGGGTTCCCTAATTGTAGCTTATTACATTAACACTGAAGCAACAGATCCAGCAGTTGGTCTTTCTTTTTAAAATTTTTTCTCAGGTTCAGTAACTAGCCCAAGTTGGTCTTTCTGAATTTTTTCTTTTTTTGAGATGGAGTCTTGCTCTGTTGCCCAGGCTAGACTGCAGTGGCGCGATCTCTGGGATTACAGGTGCACGCCACCATGCCCAGCTAATTTTTTTGTATTTTTAGTAGAGATGGGGTTTCACCATGTTAGCCAGGCTGGTCTCAAACTCCTGACCTCAGGCAATTCTCCTGCCTCAGCCTCCCAAAGTGCTGGGATTAGAGGCGTGAGCCACCGTGCCTGGCCAAGAAAGTGTCTTTATTTGAGTATACAGATTTATTTGAAGAATGCAAAATTAATACAGATTTGCAGTTATGTAGTTTAAACCTGGCAGGTTTGGTGACTTGTGTCCTAGCTCACTTTTTGTTTTTTCTTTTTCCACACAGATTGATAGAGCTACATTCTCCTGATAGCAGGAACACGTTGATCCTACGCTGCAAAGATACGGCCACAGCACACTCCTGGTTCGTAGCTATCCACACCAACATAATGGCTCTCCTCCCACAGGTATTGGCTGAACTCAACGCCATGCTTGGGGCAACCAGTGCAGCAGGAGGCAGTAAAGAGGTCAAGCATATTGCCTGGCTGGCAGAACAGGTAGGCTACAAGGCAGGGCAGAGTCTCATCTGGCTCCTGTTCAGAGCCAGGATGGTTCCTCATTTTGTGTATTTGTAATATTTATCATGCAGTTAGGTCCTGGATATCTAGCTTGGAGATCTTTTGTTTTACAGTCTTTTGTTTCATCTCCTTTTTTCTATTTCTACCTTTTGGCTATTTGTAGCTAATTATCAACGCAACCAGAAGTAGCTGACATGCTAATCATTATCATATAGTAACTAAAAAGAAGTTCTTATTACCATCTCTATCCTTAGTGACAGGGGATAATTTTCATGATTTTAGATCAGGGTCTTCTAACTTTTTCTGTAAAGGACAAGATAGCATCATAACCACTTGACTCTGCTGTTGTAGCAAGACAGTAGTCATTGGCAGTAGGAAAATGAATGAGTGTGGCTGTGTTTCAGTAAAACTTTATTTACAAAAACAAGAAACTGGTGGTTGGCTGGATGTGGCCCCAGGGTCATAGTTTCTCAACCCTTGTTCTAGTCTATTGGAAGAGCTTCTAGGGACAGCAGGCTGTGGTTAATTCCCCTGCTCTGGGAAAAGTATAAAATATACAAAATATTTTACAAGGCATTAGACAGAGGTACAGTTGTCTTCCATAACTGAAAAATGAAAAAAAGAGAAACAAGAAAGCCTGAGTAGATGTTGAGTGAGAGGAAAAGAAGATCTTGAAAACCCAAGTTGGCCAGGCGCGGTGGCTCATGCGTGTAATCCCAGCACTTTGGGAGGCGGAGGTGGGTGGATCACGAGGTTGAGAGATCGAGACCATACTGGCCAACATGGTGAAACCCTGTCTCTACTAAAAAATACAAAAAAATTAGCTGGGCGTGGTGGCATGCGCCTGTAGTCCCAGCTACTCGGGAGGCTGAGGCAGGAGAATTGCTTGAACCCAGGAGGCGGAGATTGCAGTGAGCTGAGACTGTGCCACTGCATTCCAGCCTAGCGACAGAGCAAGACCCCCTCTCAAAAAAAAAAAAAAAAAAACTCAAGTTATTTTAGATCCCAGGTTTGACAAAAGGAGAGTAAAAGTGTGTGCAAAGGAGCAGGGAGTGGACTAAATAACTGCTCCCAAATACAGCAGAATCGGCATAGGAAGGATTTTGTTCATTTTTAATTTCTTTTTTTAAATATAGTTTCCCATTGGTTCCTGCCTTCCACCACAACACAGGTCTGATTTTTTTTTTTTTTTTTTTAAGTTGAGGTTGGTGTAATTTATTTGGAGAGGATATTGTGCCCAACAGAGTTCTGATTTGGTTGGTCTGTGGTGGTACCTGATGTCTTGTTTGGTACCAAGTAATTGTGGTAATTGAAGGGCCAATTTTGGTCACCAGCAAGAGTAATTTTTTTTTATTTTCGTTTTTTGGTACCTCTCAACTTTTTATGAACAATTCAAATAAAATTATAATAAATGAGAATGTAATATTAATACAGTGATCATTTCTGTCAAGTATAAAGTAACTAAAGAATAAATGAATGAAAGTCATGATATAAGTTCTTATGACTGAAAATTTTAACATTTTAGTTGTGTTTATCATTGTTTCTACATATTGTATGCAGTCGAAAAACTGAATTAAATAATAATTGTTCTATGATTTTGGCATTGTTCAGAATCCTCATGATTCTAAAAAGGTAACACATTCATATGGTTGAAAAATCAGACAAAAAGTTAATGGGTGAAAAGTCTTGCCCTCATTCCTGTTACCCATCCACCTGGGATGCCCTTTGCCCTGGAAAGGTAACAACTCTTATTACTTTCTATTTAATCTTTTGAGAGTTCCTTTTTTCTTTTCCTTTTTTTTTTTTTTTTTTTGAGACAGCGTCTTGCTCTGTCGCCAGTCTGGAACGCAGTGGCGTGATTTCGGCTCACTGCAAACTCCGCCTCCTGGGTTCAAGAGATTCTCCTGCCTTAGCCTCCAGAGTAGCTGGGACTACAGGCGTGCGCCACCACACCCAGCTAATTTTTGTATTTTTAGTAGAGACGGGGTTTCATCATGTTGGCCAGGATGGTCTCAATCTCTTGACCTTGTGATCCACCCACCACAGCCTCCCAAAGTGCTGGGTTTACAGGCTTAAGCCACCATGCCCGGCCTTGAGAGTTTCTTTATGCACATAAAAAGAAAATATGAGGCAGGGTATGGTGGGTCATACCTGTAAAAACAACGCTTTGGGATGCTAAGGTGGGAGGATTGCTTGAGGCCAGGAGTTTGAGACCAACCTGGGCAACATGGTAAAACCCCATCTCTACAAAAAATAAAAAAAAGTAGCTGGGTGTGGTAGCATGCACCTGTGTCCTTTCACACATGGACTGTCCAAATTCTTTGGCTCCTGTGTCCAGGTAGATCAGATAAGGATATCAACATTGTTTGCATATATTTGGTTCTTAAGTTTCTGAGTTTCTAATAGTAAATAGTAAAACTTCAGTTAGTAAAGGATTTATCCAAAAGTTCACATCAGTTTCTAAGTTTGGATGGTGAGAGTTCAGAGGATAGGGGATATTCCTTTTTTTTTTTTTTTTTTTTGGAGATGGAGTCTTGCTCTGTTGCCTAGGCTAGAGTGCAGTGGTGCAATCTCAGCTCACTGCAACTTCTGCTTCCCGGGTTCAAGCAATTCTCCTGCCTCAGCCTCCCGAGTAGCTGGGATTACAGGCACACGCCACCACACCTGGCTAATTTTTGTATTTTTATTAGAGATGGGGGTTTTACCATGTTGGACAAGCTGGTCTTAAACTCCTGACCTCAAGAGATCCGCCTGCCTCGGCCTCCCAAAGTACTGGAATTACAGGCATGAGGCACTATGCACAGCCCAATACTCAGTAATTTTTTTCTTTTGTACATGCATACACACAAAAAACAAGCAAATAAGTCCCTAGTTATAAAATATTGTCCAAGTAGCCAGTTGTGGTGGTTCATGCCTCCCAGTATTTTGAGAGGCTGAGCCAGGAAGATCATGTGAGTCCAGGAGTTCGAGACCAGTCTGGGCAACATAGCAAGACCCTCAAACCCTGTCTCTACTAAAAATACAAAAATAAGCCAAGTGTGGTGGCGGGCACCTCTAATCCCAGCTACTCAGTAGGCTGAGGCAGAGAATTGCTTAAACCTGGGAAGCAGAGGTTGCAGGGAGTGGAGATTGTGCCACTGCACTCCAACCTGGGCTACAGAGCGAGACTCCGTCTCAAAAAAAAAAAAAAAAAAAAAAAGTACCACTGCACTAATTCAAATTGCTGCTTTTTTTCTTTTCTTTCTTCCTTTTTTTTTTTTTTCAGACAGAGTTTTGCTCTTTCATCCAGGCTGGAGTGAAGTGGTATGATCTCGGCCCACTGCAGCCTCCACCCCACCCTGCCCCTCTGGGTTCAAGCAGTTGTCCTGCCTCAGCCTCCCAAGTAGCTGAGATTACAGGCGTCCACCACCATGCCCTGCTAATTTTTGTATTTTTTGTAGAAACAGGGTTTCACCATGTTGGCCTGGCTGGTCTCAAACTCCTGATTGGCCTTTAATGTATTTTGAAATATATGTGTTTTTTTGGTTTTTTTTTTTTTTTGAGATGAGGTCTCACTTTGTCACCCAGCTGGAGTGTAGTGGTGTATTCTCAGCTCATTTCAACCTCTGCCTCTCGAGTTCAAGAGATTTTCCTGCCTCAGCCTCCTGAGTAGCTGAGATTACAGGCACACGCCACCACTCCCAGCTAATTTTTGGATTTTTAGTAGAGATGGGGTTTCACCATGTTGACCAGGCTGGTGTCAAATTCCTCACATCAGGTGGTCTGCCCACCTCAGCCTCCCAAAGTGCTGGGATTACAGGCATGAGCTACTGTGCCTGGCCTTTAATATATTTTGAAATATAGTTTTATTTATTTATTTATTATAATTTTTTTAAAGATGGAGTTTCACCATTTTGGTCAGGCTGATCTTGGACTCCCAACCTCAGGTGATCCACCCACCTTGGCCTCCAAAGTGCTTGGATTACAGGCATGAGCCACTATGCCCAGCCATAGTTTTTTTTTATTTTGAGATGAAGCCTCACTCTGTTGCCCAGGCTGGAGTGTAGTGGTGCAGTCTTGGCTCATTTCCACCTCTGCCTCCCGAGTTCAAGCAATTCCCCTGCCTCAGCCTCCCAGGTAGCTGGGATTATAGGCACACGCCACCATGCTCAGCTAATTTTTGTATTTTTAGTAGAGATTGGGTTTCACCATGTTGGCTAGGCTGGTATCAAATTCCTGACCTCAGGTGATCTGCCCACATCAGCCTCCCAAAGCGCTGGGGTTACGGGTATGAGCTACTAGCCCAGCCAATATGTTATCTTTAACTATAGTCACCATACTACGCAAAAGATTACCAGAATTTATTCATCCTATTTAATTGAAACTTTGTACAATTTGACCAGCATCTCCACTTTCCACATCTACCCCTTACCCCAGCCTCTGGGAACCACCATTCTACTCTTCACATTTTTTTTTTCTTTTTTTTTTGAGACAGGGTCACATTCTTTCACTTGGGCTGGAATGCAGTGGTATAATCATGGCTCACTACAGTCTCAACCTCCTGGGCTCAAGCAGTATTCCCACTTCAGCCTCCTGAATCGCTAAGACTACAGGCACGTACCATCACACCATTTTATTTTTAAATTTTTTTTTTTTTTTGGGACGGAGTTTCGCTCTTGTTACCCAGGCTGGAGTGCAATGGCGCGATCTCGGCTCACCGCAACCTCCGCCTCCTGGGTTCAGGCAATTCTCCTGCCTCAGCCTCCTGAGTAGCTGGGATTACAGGCACGCGCCACCATGCCCAGCTAATTTTTTGTATTTTTAGAAGAGACAAGGTTTCATCATGTTGGTCAGGCTGGTCTTGAACTCTTGTGATTTACCTCAAGTGATTTACCCCCCAGTCTACCCAAAGTGCTGAGATTACAGGCATGAGCCACCACTCCTGGCCCCGTATATTCTTTTTTCTTTTTTATATTTTTCTTTTTTTATTAAATATGGAACGCTTCACAAATTTGCGTGTCATCCTTGCACAGGGTCCTCGCTAATCTTCTCTGTATCGTTCCAATTTTAGTATATGTGCTGCTGAAGTGAGTACCCAGTATATTCTTAAAAGGAAATTTTTTTGAGTCCACCAAATGGAGGACATGTATTATCTATTAAATGAATTTTTTAAAGCATTTGAGTAGTTTTTTTAACTTTGTATGCCAAGACTTTTTTATTTTAGTGATATTTACATAATAAATGTAATTTTAATCACTTAAGTTCTTCCATCACTGAAATATGTGCTTTTCCTTATCCTTAGGCATCTTGAATTATCTGATGTTGAGGGACCTCCTGAAATGATTTTATTTTTTTCTTCGTTTTTTCTTACTCAGTTTTGGCTCACTGGAATGCTATGGCCTGATTAAGGCTGTCAAAAGGAGAATTCTCCCTTTAATTTTCACTTGCTTCTACTTCAGTTTCTTGTACTGGTTCAGGAACTTTCTTTTTTTCTTTCTTCTTTGGAGGCTCACGTTCTCCAAGCATATTTTTCAGACAGGTATAACTTAGTTGTTCACTTTTCTCACAAACATAACACTTAGATTCATGAAAGTAGTCCTGCCTTTGGGTGAACTCAGCTACTCTTCTGTTGTCAACAGTGATCCTTGCTTTTATCGCTTTACCAAGTAACTGTTGTTAATTGCCCTGATACCGTTTTGTACAAAGTCTTTATTTATTTATTTTTAAAGACGGGGTTTCACCGTGTTGGTCAGGTTGGTCTTGAACTCCCAACCTCAGGTGATCCGCCCGCCTTGTCCTCCAAAGTGCTTAGATTACAGGCGTGAGCCACCACGCCTGGCTGTGCAAAGTCTTTTATCCAAAAATAAAATAAATGCAACCTCTTTACTCTTCCTGGTATCTTTATATTTTATTACAGTAATCTTTACAACTTTGCCACGCTTGGAAAATATCCAGTATAAGTTATTAACTGTCAGGGAACAGGCAAATTGGATACATGCTCTGTGCTTTTACTTGGAGCCAACTCACCACTCATGTCTTCAGGGGGGCAGACCCAAGAGACCAGAAGAGCTAGAGCCCTCGGCTTAGCTGGAGCTTAAAAAAAAAGAAAAGAAAAGCCAAAGGCCGGTACTGGGTACGGTAGCTCACGCCTGTAATCCCAGCTTTTAGGAGGAACACTTGAGCCCACTCAGGAATTGAAGACCTACCTGGGTAACAAAGTGATACCCCCATCTTTTTTTTTTTTTTTTTTTAACCCCAAACCACATTGAATGGGGTGAGATCCCATCTCTACAAAAATTTAAAACTTAGGTAAAAGTGATGGTGGGCACCTGTGGTTCCTGATGTTTGGGAGACTGAGGTGGGAGAATCACTTGATCCCAGGAGATCTAGGCTATGGTGAGTCTCATGAGCCTGCAGTGCCTGCAGTGAGTGTTCATGCTACTGCTCTGTCTTTGTTTGTTTGTTTGTTTTTCGAGATGGAGTCTCGCTCTGTAGCCCAGGCTGGACTGCAGTGGTGTGATCTTGCCTCACTGCAACCTCTGCCTCCCGGGTTCAAGCAGTTCCCCTACCTTAGCCTCTCAAGCAGCTGGGATTACAGACACGAGCCACCATGCCTTGCTAACTTTTGTATTTTTTAGTAGAGACGGGTTTTCGCCATGTTAGCCAGCCTGGTCTTGAACTCCTGACCTTGTGATTCACCTGCCTCAGCCTCCCAAAGTGCTGGGATTACAGGCATGAGCCTGTAATGCTGGTTCATGCTACTGCTCTTTAGCCTGTGGAACAGAGTAAGACGCTGTCTCAAATAAATAAATAAATAATTGAATGAACAAATGAATGAATGAATGAAAAACCAAGAAAAGGTTTATTTTAATAGTTACTACTTTATCCCTGTTAGCTCTCAAAGTGCATAAAGACTCAAATTAGAATCATATATATTCATTCAGGATTAGTGTAATTAGTTTTTTACCTTTTGCTCACCATTTTTTATTGTAATAATAAAGGAACAGAGTTCATTGCCTGTCAAAAAGGGATTAAGGGATTAGTGGAATGAATAATAATTTTTATTATTTTTTTCATCTTTAGTGCTATCCACCTCTGTTTATTAGAAATAAAATTTGGAGAAAGCTGCAGTTTGGCCAGGTTTATGTATATGTGGATGTTCAAACACAGGCAAACCAAGCCCTAACATTCGTATCCCTTTTGTCTCTGGCCAGAAACTCAATAATGGGATCCCCAAGGCTGCTTGTGCGGATACCATAACCAAAATCACATACAGCCGGGAGAGGTGACTCACGCCTGTAATCCCAGCACTTTGGGAGGCCGAGGTGGGTGGATCACGAGGTGAGGAGATCGAGTCCATCCTGGCCAACATGGTGCAACACCGTCTCTATTAAAAATACAAAAAAATTAGCTGGCCATGGTGGCTTGTGCCTGTAATCCCGGCTACTTGGAAGGCTGAGGTGGGAGAGTTGCTTGAACCAGGGAGTCGGAGGTGGCAGTGAGCCGAGATCGTGCCTCTGCACTCCAGCCTGGTGACCACAGAGCGAGACTCCATCTCAAAAAAAAAAAATTTTTTTTTTTTTTTTAAACACATGCTATGTATAGCAGACAGCATTTGACTTCACTGAAAGCAAACAGTATCCTTAAAATTTAAGGCAAGGCCAGGCATAGTGGTGGCTCACACCTGTAATCCCAGCACTCTGGGAGGCTGAGGTGGGTGGATCACCTGAGGTCAGGAGTTCAAGACTAGCCTGGCCAACATGGCAAAACTCTATCTCTACTAAAAATACAAAATTAGCTGGGCATGGTGGTGGCCTATAATCCCAGCTACTCGGGAGGCTGAGGCAGGAGAATCGCTTGAACCTGGGAGGTGGAGGTTGCAGTGAGCCGAGTTGGCACCACTGCACTGCAGCCTGGATAACAGAGTGAGATTCCATTTCAAAAAAAAAGTTAAGGCAAATAGGCAATCAGAATGATTAAATTGAGGTTTCATTTTTTTTTTTTTCCCCAATGGTAAATAGAAGAGGGAAAAGAGACTCTCTAAAAGCTAAGGACTTGAAAAAGCTAAAAGAGTAAACACTTTTGGCCAACTGCGGTGGCTCACATCTGTAATTCCAGCACTTTGGGAGGCCGAGGCAGGCAGATCACCTGAGGTCGGGAGTTCAAGACCAGCCTTAACAATATGGGGAAACCTCTTCTCTACTGAAAATACAAAATTAGCTGGGCGTAGTGGCGCATGCCTGTGATCCCAGCGGCTTGGGAGGATGAGGCAGGAGAATCGCTTGAAAAGCCGGGAGGCGGAAGTTGCCGGGAGCTGAGATCGCTCCATTGCAGTCCATCCTGGGCCCCAAGAGCGAAACTCCGTCTCAGGAAACAAACCAAAAAAAAAGAGTAAACGCATGTAAAAACTTGTTAAACACAAAGTTCTCTTACATATTTCTTTTTTTAGTGCGGAGGGCGGGGGGCGAGGCGGGGGCGGGGAACGGAATCTTGCTCTTGTTGCCCAGGCTGGAGTGGACTGGCGCCATCTCGGTTTACCGCAAACTCTGCCCCCTAGGTTCAAGTGATTCTCCTGCCTCAGCCTCCCCAGTAGCTGGGATTACAGGCACCCGCCACCAAGCCCAGCTAATTTTTTGTATTTTTAGCTAGTCTCAAACTCCTGACCTCAGGCGATCCACCCACCTCGGCCTCCCAAAGTGCAGGGATTATAGGCGTGAACCACTGCACCCAGCCAAAAAGTTCTCTTTCTTGAAATTGGACATTGCTTCTAATGGTATTAGCATTTTTCCTTTAGGGCTCAAAATACCTTCTTTGGGAAGAAATACATTTAATTTAGGTTTTCCAAATGCATATACTCTGGTCTAGCCTTCAGAATCTCTTTCTTGTAACTTAAGGGGAAAAATTATTTATTTGTTTATTTTATTTTATTTTATTTTTGGAACAGGGTCTCCCCATGTTGCCCAGGCTGGAATACAGTGGTACAATTTCAGCTCACTGCAACCTCCAACTACTGGACTCAAGCAATCCTCCCACCTCAGCCCCCTGAGTCGCTGGGACCACAGATGCATATCATCATGCCTGGCTGATATTTGTATTTTTTGTAGAGATGGGGTTTTACCATGTTGCCCAGGCTCAAGTGATCTACCCACCTGGGCTTCCCGAAATGTCAGGATTACAGGTGTGAGCCACTGCACCCACCCAGGAAAAAAATTTATTTTTAATCAGTTTATCACCAGGCACGGTGGCTCATGCCTGTAATCCCAGAACTTTGGGAGGCCAAGGCGGGCAGATCAAAATGTCAGGAGTTCGAGACCAGCCTGACCAACATGGTGAAACCCCGACTCTAGTAAAAATACAAAAATTAGCTGGATGTGGTGGTTTGTGCTTGTAATCCCAGCTACTCAGAAGGCTGAGGCAGGAGAATTGCTTGAAACCTGGAGGTGGCGGTTGCAGCGAGCTGAGATCACACCACTGCACTCCAGCCTGGCCGACAGTCGAGCAAGACTCCGTCTCAAAAAAAAAAAAAAAAAAAAAAAAAAAAGTTTATTTTAACCGTTTGGGAAGACAGCGTTTTATATTATGTAACCTACTGAAATGCTATCTAATAATCTTGGGGGCAAAGACGTAGTAGTGAAGATAAACTAGAAATCCCTTTGGGGTATCTGTGATCCAAAAATGTATGATTCTAAGAGAACCCCTTTAGAGCTGATACCATCCTTCCAGACATTGCAGAGTTAACCATAGACTAATATAGAGTCTTAGAAAACTTGGGTTCACTGATAAGAAATGTGTAATTATTTCTACAATATTTTGCTTGAATTCTCAGAGTTAGGTTTTGTTTTTTGTTCTTTTCAGCACATGGTAGACCACTAGTCCCTTCAAATTCATTTCCCACTTTTGGAATCTAGCTCGTGGCTCTGCCTAGGAGAAAAGAGTCCCAGTGATAGATGTTATAGCACAGAACCAAACCACTCAGGCCACTTTCAGATGATAGATGTAAGGTTCTCTGTCATGTCCAAATTACCTTCAGAAGTCTTTAAAGAAAACACGTGAAAAGGGCTCTGAAGGCAATGCTATAAGAGACAATGATTTGTCAACTTGAATTCTCCTTGAAGCTTTCAGTGATGCTGAGCTGAAGGATCAGTGTTAAAATACAGTGTTGTTAAACAGTCCTTGCTCAAAGGTCTCCTGAGGAGGGAAAAGTTTTGGTGATGACAGGGCTTTTCCTGAATATTGTCTTGGGCTTTTTGGCCTTGGATCCTAGACAATATGGATAATAGTAGTTGTTCCCCTGCAGTTTAAAACCTTTTCAGAGATAACCGAGCATTATGTGAGTAAATGCAATGGTACCTTCTAAGCTGAAACATAAACTTCTAAAATATAGTGGAGAACCCTTTGAAAATAATTTGTTTTCTTACCTGCTAAGTTCTGGGTTAATAAAAGTTTTTTTTAAAAGAAAAAATAAAAGTATTTTCTAAAATACAACATAGTGAATTGTGATCAGCATTTTAAAAAATATGATAGACAGGTTGGGCTCGATTGCTCACGCTTGTAATCCCAGCACTTCGGGAGGCCGAGGCAGGCAGATCACAAGATCAGGAGATAGAGACCATCCTGGCCAACATGGTGAAACCCCATGTCTACTAAAAATACAAAAATTAGCTGGGCATGGGTGGCACAAGCCTGTAGTCCCTGCTACTCAGGAGGCTGAGGCAGGAGAATCACTTGAACCTAGGAGGCAGAGGTTGCAGTGAGTGGAGATCACACCACTGCACTCCAGCCTGGCAAAAGAGCAAGACTCCATTTAAAAAAAAAAAAAAAAGATGTTAACAGATTACATTGCACAAAATAAGAGAGTTGTGTTGTTTGGAAAATACTTTATTCAACTATGTATGTGTATATTCGGTTGCAGTGTAACCTGTATTTCTTATTGTAAGTCTTCATCAAAAACTGGTATTTAGATTATACAGACTTATTTGGTAGTAGGAGTTTCTGTCCTATGTTTAGAAGATATTATACATCAAATCACACACCGCATGTTCTCACTCATAGGTGGGTGTTGAACAATGTGGGCACAGGGAGGAGAGCACTACACACTGGGATCTGTTGGGGGCAAATAGGGGAGGGACAGCAGGGGGTGAGGAGTTGGGGAGAGATAGCATGGGGAGAAATGCCAGATATAGGTGATGGGGAGGAAGGCAGCAAATCACACTGCCATGTGAGTACTTATGAAACAATCTTGCATGTTCTTCACATGTACCCCAAAACCTAAAATGCAATTTAAAAAAAATTTTAAAAAAGAAGATATTACACATCAGACTTTCTGAAATCTATTATTTAGAACATATTTAATTGGAATTGGCAATATTGGCCAGGCGTGTGGCTGATTCCTATAATCCCAGCACTTTGGGAAGCTGAGTGAGATCCTGTCTGAAAAAAGAAAAAAAAAGAATTGGCAATATTTAGTTATTATGGAATGGGGAAAACCTATGTTGTATCACTAGATAATGTCTATAATACACACACCACTTCATATCTCCCACTGGAGAATCCCTACCATTGTAAACCTAGTGAGATGTTTCCTGTATGTCTAGTCTGTCAGGTTGGGGAAACAAAATGGAGACCTATTGTGGTAGGCCATCACTGAAGGAACTTTTACAAAGACATATCATTATGCTAAGCCCTGATTTCTGAATTTTTCCATTGTAACAGGCAAAACTAGATGGTGGAAGACAGCAATGGAGACCTGTCCTCATGGCTGTGACTGAGAAGGATTTGCTGCTCTATGACTGTATGCCATGGACAAGAGATGCCTGGGCATCACCATGTCACAGCTACCCACTTGTTGCCACAAGGTAAGTAAGACTAAAGATAAGGAAGTAAAATATTTATCCTACTCTAAGTCTACAAAATAATTTTAAAGTGAATTCCGTTATCCTAGATGCCTAAAAGAGCATTTAAGTAGCTGATATAGTTGATGCAGACAACAATTTTTTCTTATACAACCTTATTGATCATTTTGCAGGTCCTAGCTCAGAATAAATTGTTTTTGTCATGAGTATTTTTTGTGTGTACCTTTCATGTTGTCAAAGGAATTTCCTAACTGTTTTTTTCAAGACTTGCTTAGTCATGAAGATTATAGGGTTTTTTTTTCTTTATTTTATTGGCTGTGACTAGAAAACCACTGAAATTGTGGCAGCCTTTTGACTGAGTGATGAAATCATTTAAACCAGAATGTGGTATTGTGGATAAACCACACAACTCAGCCAAAATATTCTTCAACTTCTCTTTCTAATGTAAGAATACATTATTTTGATTCTACGAAATAAACATTGATTTGACCTGAAGCCACAGATTGTTTCTAGCATTCCAGATGTAGAGGGTTAAAAGGAAAAAAGAATAGAGAATTTTAGACTTGGGAGCCAAGATGTCTTATGGGATAATAACTTGGAAACTAGAAAATATATTCAAATTCAAATTTTTTTAGACTTACAAAAGAATCAGGTGTTGATATAACTCAAAAACTACACATTAAAGAAGAGCGTCATGGTAAAGGATTTGGTAGTCAAAAGAGCTAAATGATGAAACTATATCCCAGTGTGGATTTCCTGCTTTGAGGAGACAAAGATTCATGTAAGGCAGAGTATTCTCTGCATTACAGGAAACTTTCACTTTAAAAGATTGCCTTTAACTTGTCACATATATTATTCTTCCCTTATATATATTATTCTTTTTATAAAAAATATAATTTTCACATAGCCTTCCAGTAGTATCTCTGTAATTTAGAGCTGGAGCTCCAAGATTACAGAATGAGATAAAGGATTTGCTGAGCCTCAGTATTAGGGAGGTGTGCCCTCATTAATTCCTTTAGGACAGAATAGTCCTACAGAAATACTGAATTTAACTATCAGTTTCTTTTTTAAAAAAATAAAATATACACTATTCTTTGTTGTAAATTTCCTATATCTGGTTTTTAAAATCCCCACTAAATTAAAACTCCTTTAAGTCCAGAACTATGACTTAGTCCTCTCAGCACTTCCCACAATGCTTTGCTCAATAAATCTTAGTTGAATTAAATTCTTTACTTACTTCCCACAATGTTTTGCTCAATAAATCTTAGTTGAATTAAATTCTTTACTTAAGTTACAGTTTCCTCTGTCATGGTTACATTAGGAACTTGACAGTAATCCTACAAAAACATATGACCATGTCTTAGTAATTATAATTAGAGCAATTAAATTTATATTTTCCAAAGATTTAGAGTTTAGGAATATGACTGTGGAGCTCTCTTATCTTTAAATTTTGAAGAGGCAGCTTACACTTTGGTTCTGATCATAGAATACAAGGAGGGTAGCTTTTTTTGTTTGTTTGTTTGTTTTTTGTTTTTTGAGACAGAGTCTCACGCTGTCACCAGGCTGGAGTGCAGTCGTGCAATCTTGGCTCATGGCAACCTCCGCCTCCTGGGTGCAAGTGATTCTCCAGCTTCAGCCTCCCTAGCAGCTGGAACTATAGGCGCTCTACCATGCCTAGCTAATTTTTTGTATTTTTAGTAGAGTCAGGGTTTACACCATGTTGGCCAGGATGGTCTTAATCTGTTGACCTCATGATCTGCCTGCCTCGGCCTCCAAAAGTGCTGGGATTACAGGCATGAGCCACTGTGCCCAGCCTTTATTCTTATTTAAAATGTGTGCAACTGGAAGCGTGAAGCAGAAGTTTACCACATCCCATAGACGAGCTTTTGTTCAATACTACAAATTAAAATGCTATGAGCAAACCATTTCTTGGCTATAGAGTAGATTAGGCGTGAACCACCAAGCACTTTGATACTAAAGAAGAAGATGGGGGGTATGTGTACTATCAGTGGCATTAATTTGCAAGTAGGGAAAAGATATAGACAAGATTTAAGAGCTAAAACTATAAAACCCATAGAATAAAATATAGGAGTAGATCTTTATGACTTTGGGTTACGCAGAACCTTCTCAGATATGGTACCAAAAGCACAGTTAACAAGAGAAAAAGGCCAGGCGTGGTGGCTCACACCTGTAATCCCAGCACTTTTGGAAGCCAAGGCGGGCAGATCACGAGGTCAAGAGATCGAGACCATCCTGGCCAACATGGTGAAACCCCTTCTCTACTAAAAATACAAAAATTAGCCGGACGTGGTGGCACGTGCCTGTGGTCCCAGCTACTCGGGAGGCTGAGGTGGAAGAATCACTTGAACCCAGGAGGTGGAGGTTGCAGTAAGCAGTGATTGCCCCACTGCACTCCAGCCTGCCAACAGAGCAAGACTCCGTCTCAAAACAAGAGAAAAAATAGATAAATTGGACTTGAAGAAACTTAAAAGCTTTGTGCTTCAAATGTCACCATCAAGAAAGTGAAAAAATAACTCACAGAATGGGAGAAAGTGTTTGAAAATCATATATCTGATGGAACTTATATCTAGAATATATAAAGATTTCTTGACCGGGCATGGTGGCCCAAATCTGTAATCCCAGCACTTTGGGAGGCTGAGGTGATCTGATCACCTGAGGTCAGGAGTTCAAGACCAGCCCGGCCAACATGGTGAAACCCTATCTCTACCAAAAATACAAAAATTAGCCAGTGTGGTGTCATGCACCTGTAATCCCAGCTACTTGGGAGGCTGAGGCAGGAGGATTGCTTGGATATGGGAGCCAGAGGTTGCTGTGAGCTGAGATTGTACCACTGCATTCCAGCCTGGGTGACAGAGTGAGACTCCATCTCAAAAATAATAATAATAATAATTCTTACTAGTCAGTAATGAAAAATGGGGCTGGGCGCGGTGGCTCATGCCTGTAATCTCAGCACTTTGGGACGCCAAGGCGAGTGGGTCACCTGAGGTCAGGGGTTCGAGACCAGCCCGGCCAACATGGTGAAACCCCGTTCCTACTAAAAATACAAAAATTAGCTAGGTGTGGTGGCATGACCTGTAATCCCAGCTACTCAGAAGGCTGAGGCAGGAGAATCGCTTGAACCCAGGAGGCAGAGGTTGCAGTGTGCAGTGAAACAAGACCTCACCACTGCACTCCAGCCTGGGCAATGGAGCAAGACTCCATCTCAAAAAAAAAAGGGGGGGGAAAATGGTATGAATAGATATTTGTCCAAAGATATATGAATGGCCAGTAAGAACATGAAAAGATGTTCAGCATTCCTTAACATAGTATCAGGGAAATGCAAATCAAAACCACAATGAGATACTATTTCCCAACCACTGGGATGGTTATAATTAAAAAGACAGATGAAATAAAAAGTGTGAACAACGATGTGGAGAAAATGGACTCTTTATACATTGCTGGTGAGAATGTAAAATATATACTTGCTGTGTCAGGCAGTCTGGCAGTTTCTCAAAAGCTAAATATAGTCACCCTATGACCCACAGTTCCATTCCTAAGTTGTGCCCAAGAGTAATGGAAACTTATGTCCACGTCAAAACTTATATATGACTGTTCAAAACAGCATTATTCACAATAGCCAGAAAGTGGAAACAACCCAAGTGTCCATCAGCTGATGAATGGATAAACAAAATGTGACATATCCACGCAGTGGAATACTATTCTGCAGTTAAAAACAATAATGGGCCGGGCTTAGTGGCTCATGCTTGTAATCCCAGCACTTTGAGAGGCTGAGGCAGGCAGATCACGAGGTCAGAAGTTCAAGACCATCCTGGCCAACATGGTGAAACCTCGTCTCTATTAAAAATACACAAAAATTAGCTGGATGTGGTGGCACATGCCTGTAGTCCCAGCTACTCAGGAGGCTGAGGCAGGAGAACCTCTTGAACCTAGGAGGCAGAGGTTGCGTTGAGCCGAGTTCACGCCACTCCACTGCAGCCTGGTGACAGAGCAAGACTCTGTCTCCAAAAACAAAAAAAAAAATAATAATGTTCTGATAGATACTAAAATGTAGATGAATCTTGAAAACATTGTGCTAAGTGAAAGAAGCCAGACACAAACAACTACATACTGTATTATTCCATTTATATGAAAAGTTGAGGATAGGCAAATCCAGGATAGACAGAAAGTAGATTAGTGGTTGCCAGGGGGAGGGGCCAGTAGGGAATGACTGCTAATGTGTATAGAATTTCTCTTTGGGATGACGACAGTCTGCTAAAATTGAATGTGGTGATGGTTGAAAATTCTGAATATACTGAAGACCATTGTACTTCAAGGGGTAAATTGTATGGTGTGTGAATTATATTTTAACAATTCAATTATTTCAATAAAATAATTAAACCCAACAAGATTTAAAAGAGAGACTAAGACTGACTCATAATAAACTGAGTTTTATTCTAAGTAAGTGGTAACATGCTACTGAACCTTTCTGTGCCACAGATTTTAGGGTGCATTTTTAAGTGTACCCTAATGAGATAGGGTGAGTGTGAGTATTAAATGAGTTGATACTAATAAACTTCCTAGAATGGTGCCTGACACATTGTAACTGCTCAAGTGTTAGCTGCTTTAATTATAATACTTATTATTAAATGAAAATATGTCCAAGAAGAATTATTTGTAAAAGTATAATACTTAGTTTAATTTGGTGATTGTTAAAAGAAGAGCACTTAGCTGGGTGCCATGGCACGTGCCTATAATCCCAGCTTCTTGGGAGGTTGGAAGGGTCACTTAGGTCCAGAAGTTCAAGACCAGCCTGGGCAACATAATGAGACCTCTGGTCTCAAAAAAATTGAAAGAAAAGAAAAAGGAGCAGTTCTTGATCTGCCACCAATTTTTACAGATAGTCAAAGTTTCATATTAAATGTAAAGAATTCAAACATGCTCATTTATGCCAATTGAACTCACTATTAATTAAATGGGTGGGTCTTATAGAGCTTCCTAGGCTG